AGCTGGAACTATAACATTGGATGATAATATTTTCCTATAATTATATTCTACCAACCTGGCGTGGTAGGCGTGGTAAATAGCCATAAGTACCCTAACAGCTATATACCACGGCGTGGTGACTTGTTAAATTAGGCCAATGTCGCCATGTTAGTCTATGGAGACAAAACGTGGTAACTAAATTTTACCACGCTTTTTTTTATTTGGTGGTTTTCTTCCAATTTTTTTTAACTTATCATAAAATCACACTTTTTGAGTTTCAAAAATATAAACATTGTGTATATTTCACATTGTTAACACACTAAAATAAGAATTTTAATATCTCTAGGGAAGGAAAATATCCGCCATATTTAATATCGGTGACTATAGTTTTCGGGCATTTTGGACGCTAAATTTCACAGTCTAAAAATTTTCTGCAATCGCCAGTGAACCATAAGGAATGGTGTTAATAATCATACCTCGACCTCGGTATTGCGTGCATTTCCAGTTGTCTATTAGTCTGCAATTCGTTTATATATACATTTTAAAAATATACTTTTGACAGGCTTTTATTGAAATTTTAAATTCCAAGCTATAATATTGTATATTTCTGGTTCCCAGCCTAGGTTTCTTTTCACCTCCTGAGGTGTAGAGTGCGGCTAACTATTGTAGGAGACGAATTATAGAGTTTCAGGATTGCTGGTGCCCTTCAATATGACGAACCCAAGCGAACCTCGACACTTTAGTTATGAAAACTAACGCTAGAAATAGACTCAATGCGGCTGATGATATGCGTAGGATTTGTCGACAATTTACTGTTCCTATATTTGGACTATTGGTGCAAGGAAAACGAGCCCTATGAAAATAAAAAAATCTTGATATTTGATATGAGTTGCACAATTCTTAGCGGATTTGGACCAAACTTGGTGCAATTGTTTATTATCAAAAGACGATGAAACCTATCACAAAATAACTTGTGCTGTGGCTAGTAAACAATGTAGAAATGAAATGAAATGAATGGAGTTTTATGTCCTACTTTTCTGCACCATGTGGGCTAATGAAGAAGGGCAACACCATGCAGGGTGCGATGAGGGAAATTTTGCCAGGACATCGGCATTAGCCTGCTCTTTTTCGATTTCCAACTGTCGAGGGATCTTTAACGTGCACAGCCTGTAGCGCACGGGGCCTCTGTTTATTGTCCCATCCGAACGACTAAACGCTGTTTCCATGTCAGCCCCTCTTACCTGCATCACTGACAGGGGGAAACCGGGTTGAAAAATCCGAAGGTATTATCTCGACCTATGCCGGGATTGATAGTAAACACTGTAGAAGACACAATTATTTATAAATTTAGATACAGTTAGATAAACCTTCATAATAATCAAGATGGAACATGTGTTGAAAATTATCTTAAACTCGACCGACTCACTCTTTTGACCTAATCGAATTGTTTGTTTCCAGACGTCAGAAAAAATACAGACATTGATAGTGTTGGACTGTAGTTATTCTAGGTTAGTAATAGTACAGATATTGATAGTGTTTGTCTGTTGTATATAGTCTAGGTCAGTAATAATACATTTAATGATAGTGTTTGACTGTAGTTTGTAGTAGAGTTTAGTAATGATACAGATATTGGTACTGATTGATTGTAGCATGTAGTCAAGGTCAGTAATAATTCAGGTATTGGCTGTGATTGACTGTAGTAGAGGTTAGTGCCTGCTCAATGACTTCGCATTGTTTACATACATCTATTGTTTCTCTTAATCACTTGTCATTACCCCTTTTGTCTATTTCCCTCTTAATCTCTATATTATTTCTTGTTGGTATATATTTTGTTATCTTTTATTCTCTTGCCATTACATCTGATGACGACACTTGTATATTTTGTTGAAACTTTATGTGCTCTACCTTATTAAAGAAGTGTGTTATATTCCATAATATTGTCTTGTGTTTTGTTATAAGCCTAACACAACGATATTGCCCTTACTGTTCTGCAAGAGACTATTGAATTGACTGTCCATGTTCCAAAATGTTTCCTTCTATTTTTATAAGTTTAATCTGATCCGTACTTTTTGTAATAAGCATGCTTCCGGTCATGGCCTCCAGTGTTGTCATGAATTCAAATAGTAAAAATTAAAAAGTATAAAAGTAAACTAAAACTAAAAGTAAAATAAAATGAATGTAGTGAATTAGATGCTCTGTAATTTAAACTAAGAAAAGAACCAACTGTATTATCAATCTGTTTCATTAACTCTATAGAATTGGCCAATTACCAGGGGCCGTGGATATTCGCCACCCAGGTGGCGAATAGTCCACGTCCATTCATTTGACTATTCGCCAGCAACACTGACAGGACCATTTGGGAAATACGTCTAGGACAAATGTGACACAATTTGGACATGCGCCTGCTTTGTCTTTTTTTTTACCATTTACACATCTTCATCAACCTTTTTTTTACTTACGTAAAGATCCCCCGACAGTTGGAAATCGAAAATAAGAGTAGGCTAATGTCGCTGTCCTGACAAAATTTCCCTCATTGCACACTGCATGGCGTTTGCCCTTCCTCAGTAGCCCATACAGGTGCAGAAATAGGACGTAAAACTTTAGTTTATTTCATTTTTTTTTCTACGGATTTCTTATACAAACGTATGATGCTAAGAGTTCACTACCCTACCTGTTGTTCACCGCCATCATTTCTTGTATACCACCTTTAGTTCGTGTTTACCACCCCAACTCTTTGTTACCACCCTAGTTGTTTTTCATTAACCTAGGTGTTGTTTACCACCCTAAATACTTGTTTACCACTCTCAGCTCTTGTTTCATTAACCTAGCTGTTGTTTACCACCCTTGATACTTGTTTACCACCCTCAATACTTGTTTACCACTCATAATTCTTGTTTACCACACTCAGCTCTTGTTTCATTAACCTAGCTGTTGTTTACCACCCTCGATACTTGTTTACCACCCTCAATACTTGTTTACCACGCATAATTCTTGTTTAACACACTCAGCTCTTGTTTCATTAACATAGCTGTTGTTCACCACCCCCAGGTCTTGTTTGCCACCCACAATACTTGTGTAACACCGACAATTCGTGTTTGCCACCCTAAGCTCTTGTTCACCTACTTAGTTGTTGTTCACCATCCCCAGCTCTTGTTTACCATCCTCAGCTATTGTTCACCACCCTGGGTTATTTTTACCACCCTAGCTGTTGTTTACCACCCGTAGGTCTAGTTTAACAGCCACAATTCTTGTTTACCAACTTACTCTTGTTTACCACCCTCAGCTCTTGTTCGCCACCCTCGGTTTTTGTTTACCACCAGCAGGTCTAGTTTGCCACCCTCCGTTCCGGTTTACCACCCGCAAATCTTGTTTACCACTTCCAGCTCTTGTTCACCACCCTCACATCTTGTTTACCACCCCCAATACTTATTTACCCCTGACGATTCTTGTGTACCACCGACAATTCTTGTTAACCACCCTAAAGTCTTTTTTACCACCCTCAGCTTTTGCTCCAGCTTTCTTAAACTAATAGGGAATGTCGGGAATTCGCGTTTTTGGGAATCCGATTCTAAAAATCTTCAAAGGGTGGGATCTCCCACACATTATATAAAAAATCCTTAAATCCGCCGGAAAATGTCAAGAAAAAACGCTTCCGGGCCTCAAAAAAAAAAAAAAAATGCAGAGTCACGCGAGGTTTGTAAGTGACGTAAATATCGAGACTAAATTTCATAGAAGTGATTCAAAAATTGACTTAACACCGGTTGACTATAAATAGCCATCCAATGGGACAGCGATTATCAATTATAAGTAGGTGTTATATTCGTACATTTTCTTGAAAGGAATTGCAAATAAGCGTTTCTAATGAACATAAAAAAACATTATAATGCATGTAACGCTATAGCCTTAACAGCTAATAATGTCAGTCTTCTTAGAAATTAAAGTTTTAAATACGGGTGGCAAAAAAAAATGAGGGTGGCGAATAATTGTTTGCCACCCGGGTGGCGAATATCCTCGGCCATTACCAGGGGCTTAGACCGGACGGCTTCATGCACTCTCACGATCCACTTACTTTTGGCTATATATGTATACTTTTTAGAAAACAACTATTTAAAACTGCATATTAGTTTTACAATTAATCAAAAGCTAGAAGTATTCCAGTAGTTCTAGTAAAAATTCCCAACGAGCGACCAAATCAAAAATGTCAACAAATGTCAAAGTCGTGTGAAAAATCCACTTTCATCTTCTTACCTGTAAAAACATCTTTCTGCATTTCTCTTTTCCCCGCGCTCCAGATAAAAAAAGGTACGGCTCTTGTCCAACAAGTTTGTGAAAATTGAATAACTTTTGCATGATCTTTCGATTCAAGATGAATTGAACACTTCATTTTGTCGGTCAGATTGTTTACAGAAAGTTGACCTTGCCGAACTGGAAACGGTCAACCAGCGGAGTTATATTTAAGAATAACATCATTTGATTGGTTTGATATCTGTATGATAAGGTCACACTCTCGACAAGAGGCGCGAATATTTCAGTTCTAGCTTGGGAACATGGATTATTGGCTTTATAGCATTACAAAATCAACACACTTTTAAGAAGTGAAACGATACGTACAGGCAGTCCACCGTCTATAATAAATGGTGTCAAGATGTGGCAGCTTGATTTCTGAAAGACAGAGCCTCCTGTCTGTCCAGACAACGAGGACAGTGTCTGTTCATTTCTTGATGTACATAGTTGGGTAAACATGGAGAGGTTATTATTATAATATTTCGCAGGAATATGTTTTAGCCCCTTGCGATTCTGAATAAACCAGTTGGGAAGTGTTGTTTGCTCTTCAACTTATTATCATTATCAATATTGGCAAGTACTTAATCAAGAAACATGCAGAGTCAATGTCTTTATTTGGCATAGAAACCGATGACATCCCTGATATAGAACATTTGTCAGGACCCAAAGACCTGATAACAAGAGTTAAGAGATCTAAAGGTGTAACGGTCAAAAGAACAACAGAGACCCAAATTAAGATGGCAGAAAGAAATCCTGATCAAAAAAGACTTAACTTAGTGAAACGGGAGACCAATCGTATCAGATACACGAGTTCTGCAATGAATACATGTCAAGCTGTTGTCAAACCTGACTGCTCTATACCAAAAGTATTGAAGTCTACTGGAATAAAGCAAGCTTTCAAGAACATTTTCATGTCAATGACAAATTCAACAGTTGAACAGAATAAAGAAATTACGTTTGAGAAATTTGTTTCATATAATGTTAGATCGCTGTGCGAAGAGGTAAAGGATTTGGTCAAATATGTTACCATTGAGTTTGTTGGGGTTAAGTTTAAAGCATCTGGTATGATTGATGGTGTGCAATATCTTAAATATTTTGAAAGGGGTATTCTTCAAAAGACCGCAACTCAGATGCCATTTGAAAAGAGAATTGCAGTCTGTGAAGGAGAATATAGCTTCACCTCTGATGACTTTAAGGCAGCTACACGTTATCTAAGAATGTCAGTAGCTAAAAAGATTCCTATCATTTGAAAACTGCAGAGGAAATACTCTCAACATTTGATAAGAAGTCTATTACAGGTACACATGATGGTAAAAAGGTGATTAGTACCTACTTGACAAGACATATGGACCAACTTCAGATCAAGAAAAATCTAGAGATTGATATTGACAGTGAGCTATATGTCTCGGATTGCTCGACATTCACTACACCAATTCGATGTTTTGACTCGGCAACCAATGGTTTTCTTTCAAACAAAAAGCTTACTTCTATAAAACAATCAAAGGGAGAAGCTGAAATGTCCCAGATTGACTGGTTATGGGAGTATGCTTCAGATTTATCTCCTGGGGATGTTTGTGTCAGCATGGTAACTTCTGGGGACATAGATGCTGTGGTGCTGCATTTATTCTTCGCAAGTTGGAAATGGAAGCGAAATAAAAATGGAAGATTCATCAACCCAATATATGTCCTTTTACACAAGCCTGCAGGAATGTTTGATATTTACAATATTACTGGTCTTTTAGAAACATTCGAATCCTCAACTGAAGATATAGGTATATTGGATTAAAACTAGGGGTCGCCTTAAGTCTGGATGGCAATGACTTTTTACCTAAATTTTATGGAATAACACATTCACAGGTCATTGAAAAAATATTTCAAAATCCTCATTTCAAGGAACATTTTCTGAACATTGATCATGAGGATTTAAGTATAATATGTAACCTTTTTTCCCTATTATTTTGAAATTGACATATTGAATCTAACCACATCAAATCACTTATTATTTCACTTAATCACAGTGTGTAGATTTTCTATCACTGGTTTATCTTTTATTTCTCTTTTCAGAAAACAAAACAGAATTTTATTTAGTTATATTTATTTTGAGGATTTGTCAATAGATTTAGAAATATTTATTGACATAAAGAACTGATATATAGCTAATATTTTTAAAACTATTATAATTGCAATATTATGATCAGTGAGATGGTATTTTCATATTTTAAGGAACAAAAATGGCTTTTATTGAGTTTTCTTTATAAGAAATAATCAAATCATAATATTTCAATTTTGACATCTCCCTTATTCCCCTGAAAACTATTTCGACAGTTGTCGGTGGCACTAGGGTAAAAAATTTTTTGGTCGATTTTCTTCGGATTTTCAATTTTGGAATCTGCATGTAATTTCTCATATGATAGCAGTTAAAAAATTTCAAAATTAGGAAATTTGTCGCGGATTAATTTGAAATTTTAGGTGCAAATATAGATTACTAAAGTAAACAAAAGAGTCTAGTGATATATTTTGATTCGGATTAAACGTAAAATTGATTTTAACTTCGGATTGATTAACTTCCGGTGTAACTTATGTAGGCCAACAAAATTTGGCTGGTCTTGATAAATAAAATCCAGACCGGAAGTGATTCTTTGGCTGCCATAATTTATATGACACACTTTTGTAAATCCAAATTGGGCCTCAGGGAAGAATTGGACGTGTATACTGTTGATACTGTAATCTGTAAACGATTGCCAACAAAAGCTAGGAAGCCGATTTTTGAGTTTCGCTTTTGCTTCTTTGCAATTTCCGGTGGAATCTTTTCGAAGTTTGAAGGCTCATATCTCATAACCTTGACCTTTGATGACCTTGACCTTCATTGGGTCAAAAGCCATTGACCTTGGCTATCAGTTGATACCTATTTGACCTCCGACATCTACTTCCGATTTTGTGAAAACAGCCAAATTCGCAACTTTGGACTGCTCTAGCACGTGACCTAATTAAAATTAAAATTCGTGATTCTTTTTGATTTAATTTGAGTGTTTTTTACAATATTTTTGCCTCTTTGAGCTTAGTTTATGTATATATTAAGATATATTTGATGTAGAATATTCAAATTTGGAAAACAACTAGACATTTTGAATATGAATTAACCAATGACCTAAATTACTAATTAAGAACACAAGTTATATGAATATACTACTTCTAGCACTAAAAGATAAGATGAAGTAGGGAGAATTATATAGCGCTGCTTTGTTGCCATAGTGTTCTTTATTATCAGATAGTACTCTTAATTGTTTTACAGTTTTTGGCTTCAAGTAACTTTTTTTTATATCTATCCTGTTGTTATTATAGGTACATCTTTAATCATGATTGTTATTGCTATATCCCCTTATTGCTTCTATTGATTTACCTATATAACTTGTGTTGTTTGTTGGTAATGATTTTACTTGATAACCTTACCTGAATGTGTATCGAAACGTAGTATGTAATAAAACTAGAAGTAGTATATCCATCAAACTTGTGTTCTTAATGTTGACCTTCCTGCTTCTAAATGTCCTACAAAGATTAAATTACTAATTGTTTACATTTGGGGTAAGGGGCATAACTCGAATAAGATAAATTTCTCCAAAAAGGGACTTTGTACACAATTACCTCGTTCATTGGACCAGTTTGTGTTTAAAACTCAGTTGTTTCAGCTTTATAGTTCAAAAAACGGAACGGGGTTTAAAATTTCCATATTTTCAATTTTTGACATTGACCTCTGTTGACCTTAACTTTTGTAGGATCAAAGGTCATTGGCCTTGGATATTTATTTAGAAGTCTCAGTTTTTTAGTCGTATGCATTTTGAAAATTCGATGAGTTATATCTCTTGACCTTGACCTTTGTTGACCTTTCCCTATAAAAAGTCAAAGGTCATTGACCTTGGCTGTCTGCTGATACTTTCATTTCTGGTGTCTGACGTCTACTTCCGGCAGGGAATGTCGTAGTTATTGACATGAATTGCTATTCATACTGAACATGGTATATGGTCATGAATATTATTTATTGCTTTATTAAAGTTCACAATATGTTGTATGAAATCAATATCAATTTCAATAACTCAGCCAACTTTGAATTTAAATTATTGAAAGTTAATAAATAATACCTTATGCAAACTTGAAATGTAAAGGTTTAAACTGTCAAATTTCGGATGTCTAAAACTTAATGTTGAACACCCCATTATAGCATCTCCATATGATAGGTTACATCAAGACATAAAATTTAACGTCAAGATGTAAAAACTTCCAACTTATCATTAAACTTACTAAAGTTTTAATTAAGTCAAATTCGAAATTCAAAATTTGTTTACCAAAAAATCCGGTTGAATAGACACCATAAACGTACAAATCAAACACAAATGCTTTGTGACATCTTCAACTCGTATCATGCTTAAAAATTGCAATTTTGATAAAAAAAAAAAAGTATAGAGTGCTGTATTGAATTTGAATTTGAATTTGAATTGTCACGTGACAGAACCCCTTAAAGTTAAAAATTGCGATATTCAAAATGCTATAAAAAAACGGAATTAAACAACTTTTTGTGTTGGTCATTAACACAATCAAAAGTCATTTCCGGCCGTTTCCGTAAATTTTCAAGAAGTGTTTTTTTAGGTAGCCTACATTGATGATATCACATCCCCCTTCTTAAGCTCAAATGAAACTTTTACGCACAAGTAACCTAATTTCGTGATAACCTATTTTTCGTGCATCTCCGGAAATAATTAACAGTTTATATGTGCGACCTCGCGTGACCTCCGCATTTGCTTATTTTGATAAACATGGGTTATCTGTACAATATTAGCTAGTAGAATGAATCCAGTAGTTTCAAGCAAGGTAAAATGTATTTATGTATACTTTGACAAATACAAAATGGCGGATTTCAGTTATTACCAAACGTCACAATATTTTATATTATTATTATTATATAATTTCCTTATAATCCCAAGCTGTAATCGGAATTCCAAGTGTCGTCTACTAGAATGTAGCCAATGAACGAAGTCACGGGAAAAACTAGCGGATTCCGTGTCAGCAGAAAACTTTATGGAACACAATGTGGGCGGTATTCTTATGTTGTTTCAATGACTTTTAGAAATAAATCACTCTTACATTTTGTCAGTCACTATTATTTTTTTTAAATCATTGTTATTTTAAGGAATTGTCAATAGTTATAATGAAATATTATTAAAGATAAATACTAAGAGAAATTTTTTAAATGGGTATCCATACAACGTGTTTTTCTCGACTTATTTATAAAACAAACATTGTACACGAAAATAGATGACGCATTAAGCAGCCATTGTCGAGTTGCTTACTCGTGAAATATCAACGTGTCCAAACCACACCCCCATTCGTCATACTTTCTCGGGTTAATAAGAGCACGTCACGTTATTTCTAAAGTCTAGCCTACTTCATGATCAGGAATTCTTGGTTTGAACCTAGCTTTAGTTGGTTGAAGTTGTCTCCTTTTCTTTCTCAATCTGCAACCTTCTTGCGATTCAACTATATAAGATCTAGGAAAACCACGAGTTTCTACAACTTTTCCTGGTAGTCATTCTTTGTTTTGTTCTATTACAACAGGATCATTTGGTTGCAAGTTTGATCAAGTTTTTACTCATGCTTTGTTAAAATAAAACTCTTGTTTCTTCTGTTTCTGTTAAAGGATATCTTTAATTATGTTACCATCATATTTGTCCGGTTTTAATAATGTTGAAGTGGTTGGTAAACTTGATTTTAGTCTTCTACCAATGTGTAATTGAGCTGATGATATCATATCTCCTTCTATTGGTGTATTTCTATAATCAAGTAAAACATTATAAGGATCTTTACTCTTTTCAATCAATTTCTTTACTGTTTGTACATATCTTTGACTATTTGACTGTAGATGATGTAGACTTGTTTAAAACTATAATCATCAATAAACCTCTTCAAAGTCGAAATTAAAAAAAAGGCTTCTAGAGGACCAATGTATTCTTCTTATTTACACTTTTACATAAGTTTAACAACAATCGGACTAAAAATGTAGTCTGTATTAAATGTTTACCTTTTTTTGCATTTTTCAAGATTGCGGCTAAACTGTTAGTGTACAAACAGTTGGTGACAACATTTTTAGTCAGTTTTTTTTAAAAGTCTGCTTTCAAGTTTTATCAAGAATACACACGAAAAATTTTGAGGCAAATCGAACAGATTTTATGGCGGATTTCTGAAATTAAGGAGTTTTCCGCCAGTTAAAGAAGTGTCAGCACCTGTCACACATTTCTCTTTTAGTTTCATTCTACCCGTTTTGGCATCCTTTGAATTATCTAATCTAATTATAATGAATTCATGACATTTTTCAGTTAACATTCTGCGATTGTAATCATCAACTTGGAATGTGGAAGTGGAAGTGGAACAGATAAGGTAACAATTTTAAAATTCCCGGTCCATAAATCATACATTGAAAATGGTCAGAATGTTCCTAATTATTACCTAGTTATACTTAACCGACATTACTCCAAATATACAGACAATTATTATACTTACCCAACTTTACCCCAAAAATAATAAAAACTATAATCATACTTACCCAACATTTCCCAAAACATACAAACTATTATATACTAACACAAACCAAACATATATACTTACAAAAGTGAGAGCCCCCCTGAACTCTTAAATATGTGTTTCATTAATTTGCATTTTCTTTAGATATAGACTTTCGTTTCATCAGCACGATTGTACAATGTATACCACATAATATCAACACAAAAGCAAAACCAA